CACCTTCCAATGGTGCCATTCCCTTGGCCAAGCATATTCAAACCACCATAGTCTCTCACTAAACCTGAGGTCTCTGTTTCAACTAGACTAGCTGGCTAGTGAGCCCCAGGATCCTCTTGTCTCCACTGACCCCTGCCTGGCTCTGAGGTTACCTTTATGTGTTCAGTGTCGGTCTTTTACATGGGTGTTGGGTATCTGAGCTCAAGTAAGTCCTCAGTCTTGAACAGCATGACTTGACCCAGTGAGCCATTTCCCTCCTTTTTGCTTTTTGTAGGTTTTCTGCATAGCTCAGGCTGTCCTGGAACTGACTGTTGCTCATGCTTGCTTTAAAATCACACATCTGGGCTAAAGAGATGGCTCAGTGGTTAAGACCAGTAGCTGCTCTTCCAGAGGTCCTGAGTTCAGTTCCCAGCACCCACATGGTGGCTCACAACCATCTCTAATGGGATATGAAGCCCTCTTCTGGTATGGGTGAAGGCAGAGACAGTATATATATATATATATATATATATATATATATATATATATATATATATAATCTTTAAAATCACACATCCTTTCCTTCAGCTGGAGTACAGGTATGTGCCGCTCAAATCCAACATGCCATTGATGTGAGTACAACCAGTTGTGTCCTGCAGTCTGGGTTTGTGGTTTTTTTTCCCTCATGGTTTGATTTACACCTGGCTCTATCATCCCATCAAGACACACCATCTACCTCTGTCATGACTGATGCTATTTATTTATTTTTGAACCGTGGGGTCATGTAGCTCAGGCAGGCCTCCAGCAGAGGATGACCTTGAGTTTATTATCCTCCTGCCACCTTACCTCTTAAATTTTGGAATTACGGACATTCACACACTTAGTGACTGTTCTACTGCAGTGAAGAGACACCATGACCAGGGCAGCTTACAAGAGAGAACATTGAGTTGAGGCTTTCTTACAGGTTTAGAGGGCTATTCCCTATCCCTCATGGCAGGCAGCATGGCCCTGGAGCAGTTACCAGTGGCCCACGTCTTATCCACAAGTTGCAGAAGGCAAAGAGGTACAGTCCACCAACTGGGGACCAGACATTCATGGATATGAGCCTGTGGGGCTACTCTCCACCACAACCACCACGTCGGGTTTTATGTAGTCATGAGGACTGAGCCTATTGGTTTCATGTGTGCTAGGTAACTCTGAGTGTCCTCCTTATCTCTATGGATTAGCTAAGGGTTTAGACTGACTGATAACAAAGCTTACCCTTATAAGCATACATACACATTCTGACTTCATACAAGTCACATGTGGACTGTTTTGTAGAACGTTTGTTTCTTGGTGGTAGTCTTCAATCCTTGTTAACCTTCAACTCCTGGGAATCCAGATTGACTTCTTGGGAGTATGCCCCTGTCCCCAAAAGGGGCCCAAACTTCATCTCCATTTTGACAAGGCCCGCTTGTCTGGGGAGAATACCCCCACTCATCATAATTCGTATAATTTTATGTTACATTTAGGCAAAAAGGACCTGCCCTGGGCCCAGAACTTTAGGGGAATCTTTCCTATCTTGTCTTTTCTCTGGCTGTGTCCTACTTAACTAGAGGAAGATTTCAGAAGCTAAGGAGACATGGCCACCCAGAGCCAACCCCCTATTTCATTCTGTGAACATTAAGACTCAATACCAACCACCCTGCCCATGTCAAAGAGGTATCTTTAAATCTTAAAGATTGCGATGAACCTTTTTTTTTTTTCAATTAAAAATTAGGTTGTGGGTGTGGTGGCACACATACATAGTAGTTCCAACACTTTGGGGGTGGAAGGGAAGAGTATCAAGTCATATATGGCCATCCTTGGCTATATAGGGAGTTCAGATCACCTGGATGACATGAGACCTCGTCTTAAAAACCAAAAACCGGGCTGGATAATTGACTCAGCGGTTAAGAGCACTGACTGCTCTTCCAGAGGTCCTGAGTTCAATTTTCAGCAACCACATGGTGGCTCACAGCCATCTATATAATGGGATCAGATGCCCTCTTCTGGTGTGTATGAAGACAGCGACAGTGTACTCATATATAAAATAAATAAAACTTAAAAAACAAAACAAAAAGCCTAGATCATTAGATCTCTGATGCCACTCCTGTTACTGGCAGCTCCTAGCATTTGCTTCTAGCCAGTGATAGGCAGAACCAGGACAGTCCTCATCCTCGATCACCAACTCCAGTGGTCACCAGTGTGCATTCTATAGCTCCACAGAGAATGAAGATGAGCGTTTGGAAGTAGAAAACAAAGCCCAGCTGGCTTTGGGCCTCCAAACAGGAAAAAGTTGGAACTGAGAAGCAGGCTTTGGGTGAGTCTGACAACCGCACTGTTTAGGAGTAAGATGGAGCCCAGCGAACCACCAACACTGACGAGATCTCTGGCCAACCAAAAGGGGATCAAAAACAAGGGCCCTGCCAAGAAATCCACCCCAGCTCCGGAGAGAAGACAAAGGGGACACTTCCAAAACTAGAGGCGTTAGAAGAAACCAGCTCTCTGTAGTCCTAGGCGAAGGAGCAGGAGAAACCCGCCTTCCCTCCATCCCCAGCGCTACTCCTCCTCCCATGGCCCCGCCCCTCTCACCTACTCTTGCCTACCAGTTGCAGGGCTCTGCTGCCGCAGTCGCGCAGTCGCGTGGGGAGCAGTTTTCCTCCAGCCTTTCCTACCCACGTGCACATTTGTCCTTCCCAGACAGTGTTAACGCCTCGTCTCGCACAGCTGTGCCTCCTGAGCCCCTCCCTTGGAGACATTGTTCTCTGTGGCCCTCTTTGCTTCTTCTCTGCTCTTCTTTTCATAGAGGAGCTGGGAGTGTGTCCCGTTCCTAAAAGGGCTCTACACAAGGTCTGAACTGGCATCAGCAGCAGGCTGGACAGGGCAGATAATGCTTAGACCCCAGGATGTCCCCGGCCAAACTATCACCAGCTAGGGCTCCCACCTTACCTAGTGCCTTAAACTAGGATGGGCAGATCCTTTGGGGTACAGGAAGAAGGATGGATTGTGGCCTACCTATCTCCCCTTCACTCAGGATTTGGAAGCTAGTGCGGTGACAGATGTAGGCAGATATTATCCATCATCCATCCAGTTGAGGTCCTGTGACAGCTGCCTAAGGCATGCTGGGGCACTCTCCCACCCCTACTTCCGTGCTGCTGGGCTGTTTCCCTTCATCCACTGGGATACTCATAGCTAGGAGCTAGCCCTACCCCATCTCTTTCTCTTCCCCACCTCCCTTTTTTTCCCTTCTCTCATGAACTACTTTCCGGACAATTGTGTTGTTTTTCCTTCAGTGTTCACACTTAGACACCAACCACTCCTGCTGCTGCCAGCACCAAACATTCATCTTCAACCGTCTGGTTCTGTCCGCATTGCCTTCCTCAAGGTACTCTGTGGGAAAGGGGGACCCCAGTGCAATGGGTTGCATTACCAACCATCTTGGTTTAAGGGAAGGTAGGACTCTCCCCCCTTTACACTGCCACAGAGTGAGATAGAGGGCAAATGTTGGTGACCAGGGGTGTAGGGGCCACCTCCCTTTGTTCTGAGAAGGTGGTTGTTTAGCCCAGCCTGAAAAAAACAGTTTTTTTCTCTCTCCTCCTCCCCCATCTCTCTGTGTGTTAGAGGACAGGTGCCTCCACTTCCGAATCTGCCACAGATAACTGTCATTAACCTTAAGGCACACTTCCCCAGGTCTTTTCATTTTTTATTTTATGTGTCTGAGTGTTTTATATGCATGTGTGTCTGTGCACTGTGTGTGCAGTGCTCAAGGAGGTCAGAAGAGGACATCAGATCCTCTAGAACAGCAGTTGCAGCCAGTTGTGGGTTGCCATCTTGGGTACTAGGAGTTGAATGCAGGTCCTCTGCAGGAACTTTTAACTGCCGGGCCATCTCTCCAGTCCTACCAGGCCCTTTTCAAGGCACGTGCCAACACAATTCGTGAAGTTAACCGAAATGTACTTACAGATGTACTTTTGCATTAGGTTCCTGCCGTTTTCAGTGGCTCTTTTTCAGTACCACATCCTGTCTTTTGTGTTTCTCTTTTCTGTTCCTTAAATGTATTGATGCCCCAAGCTTATCAATCCCCAGATTTCTAGAGATTCCAGTTTTATTTTTAGCTGAGTGGTCATCACAACTTGCTTCATGCCTCCGTCCCTCCATGCTCTCTTTTCTGGAGAAGTTTCTGCCATTTCCCTTAGTTACCCTTAGTTTTGAGTTGTCAAGACACCACAGGGGAGGACAGTGGCCAGTGTCCCTCCCCATTGCCTTTTCTCATGTGCTTACTGCCTTTCTTCCCACTTGTGTTCTCCTTGTTTTTTTTTTTCTCACTCTTTTCACATTCCCTTTCTTCCTGATGCCTCCTAGGAACCCTGTGGTTCAGGGTCCACTTGTGTCTTATGTGTCAGTCCCATGGGTATGACAGTGTCTTCTCCTTCCCTGCTGCCTATTCTGCTCTCTGAGAACGCCTTCCAACTCTCATCAGTTCTGGGGACCCTGCTGGTCTGGTGCCCCAATATCTTAACCTCTTAGAAACATGCCCTTTACGTGAAAGAGCTCTCCCCATGTGTTCTTACCTGATTCCACTGGAGAAAGTCCTGTCCCCAAGGGCCCTGGAGGTGGTTGGGAGGTTGTATGCAGTGGAGGATTAGATGCGTGTCTACCTCTGAATCTGCTTCTCTCAGTAGTGAACGGCTTTTGGGATCACCACATGGCTTGATAAGCCTCTGGATTCTACAGATTCTGGATTTAAGCTAGGAGTAAGCTCGAGAATCTTCATGGCTTAAGTGGGCCAGTTTCTTTCATCAATTCAGGAAGGCTCCACTGTAAACTTACAGACGGTCTCAGTGGGAAGGAGGCTGCTCATGAGATGCTTACTAGGAGGAGCTGTGGACAAGGGCAACCATCATCTCCTGTGACTGTTTCCAACTTTCTGTGGCTTGGCTAGGTTGGGTCTGTGGACTTGTGTTAAAGCAACTGTGACTATCCATTTTAGGCCAAGACTAATGTCTTCTCAGGAGTCAGGAGAGAGCCCTCAATCTCAAAAGGTAAGAACCTAACAGACTGAAGGAAGGGAGACCACATTTGGGAGCCACACAAATGTTCACTGGCTTCCAAAATATCACTAGCATAGGTCTGTTAGCTTCTGTATCAGGCTTGCAAGCTTAGAAATGTATAGGACCAAGTGGCAACTTAGAGGAACCTAACAAGCAGGCCATTCTCCCCTCCCCTCCTCTCCTCTTCCCTATCCCCTCCCCTCCCCTCCTCTCCCCTCTCCTCTCCTCTCTTCTCCTCCCACCCCCTCCCATATTAAGGATAGAGCCTAGGTTTTGTTTTTGCTAGGCAAGCCCCCATTCTTTTTTTTTTTTTTTTTTTTTTAATGTAGTGTTTCACTGTATAGCTCTGGCTGGCTTGGAACTCACTATGTAGAGCAGGCTGGCCTCAAACTCACACAGATCTGCCTGCCTCTGCCTTCAGATGCTGGGATTAAAGGTACACAAAGCTAGGATTTCATTAGGAGCCCAGGCTGGCCTCATATGTGGCAGCCCTGCCTCAGCCTTCCAGGTTCTGGCTGGGATTTCAGGTGTGGCTTTCAGAGTCACACATTTGCTTGGTTTCTTTAAGAGCACAGCACGGGCCAAATGCCTCACACATGAGCATATCAATTCACAGTCTGTTCATGGCCTGCCAATACTTGATTTTGTCCAGCAGAGTGGCAACAGTGGTGAGGTGGATTATATATGTTGTTATCAAGCCAGCATTATCTGTTCAGTGCATGGGACCAGGTAATGTAGAGATAATACAAATTATGATTAAGATAACTGAATGTGTCTTTCCCCTTCCTAAGTCTCATTCCGAGATGTCATGAGAGTCATCATTTATTGTAAAGCCACTTTCCTGGGCTTCATGTGGCTTTGTGTGTCATTTAGGTCTTCAAAACTCTGCAGTCTGGGTGCTGTAGATTTCTGTGTTTTCGGGTGGAGAAATCTGTGTCTCAGAGAGGAGATGAGAAATGCCCTAGATAAAATAGCTTATAAGTGGGAGAGCTGGGTGTAATTCTAACCCAGAGCTCAGGACTCTGCAGCCTTGGGCTTCCTCTCATGCCTGCTGTCTGTGCATATAGATGGGAGACACGCCAGAGTGGCAGAAATTATCAGAGCCTGGGGAATGCTAGGGGTGGTAGAGATGGCTTTCAACTGCATGTTAAGGAATAAGCTCCTCGGAGAAAGTGCTGGCTGAGTGGGGTTTAGCCGTGAGGAGTCCTGTGCATAGCGTTCAGTCTGAGAAGTCGAAAATCTGCTCTGTCAGACTGGTGGGGCGCAGTTGGTGTGCCTGGGACCTGGCGTGTGCCTTGGAAGGAGAAAGCTGTTAAAGCTAGGTTGTGAACGGCTTTGGATGCTAAATTTAGGAATGGGGAGTGTGTCAGAGCCAGGCAAAGTCAGGACCACGTTTGCCTCCTGGGAAGACTGACGGGTATCAGTGTTGAGAGTTGGATTGGAAAAGAAAGGCAGACCCTGGTCTTGTAGAGGACTCTCTGTGCTAGAGCCTGTCATAGGCTAGAGTTTGGGGTGAGACAGGGGCTGGGAGATGGCTATCAGGAAGAATGACCTAGAGGAGTATGAGATGGGGCAGGGAAGAGAGGGAAGGGCTGAGGCAGTGCTGCCGTTCTGAACCGGCCTTGAGTGGATGGTGTCAAGTCTTCTTGCTGTGTGAGGCAGGATTGAATCTTTGCTTTGTTCCTTGTTGGGCTCAAAGTGTCTGGTGCTCAGTAAACATGTGTAGATCGTGGGGAGTTAGTGGACACTCATAAGAGCCCAAGCATGTTTGCCCCTTTGGTGGGGCTGAAGTCCATTAGAGAGTTAAGCTTGATGGTATATTCCTGAAATCCCAGAATTTGGCAGGTCAAGGCAGAAGGATCTCAAGGCCAGTTTGGGCTGCCTGGTGAGACCCTGTCTCAATAAACAAAACAAACAAAAAGTTAAAAAACAAAACAAAAAATGAGCCCATGTCCTCTAACATTGCTGACCCAAGCACAGCATCCATAAGAGGATAGTGGTTACCTCCCCATCACCACAAGAAAGGCCTTAGACCTTTCTTCATCTTCTTAGGATTGAAGTACGTAAGGAGTAGTAAAGAAACCTTATCACTTTCAGCAGTGAGCAACATTGTGCACTTAACCACTTAACAGATTTCCCTTTGCATAAGATGTGCTGACACAACACACATTTGGCTCAGAGAACTCAGTTCCTTAGTGCCTAGTTCTTGTGGTCATATATGTCCCAGATGACTCAACCAGGTGGAACCCAGGAGAAGGAGACCTCCAGATCCTTTCCAGTGACAAGTTCCATCAGCCAGAACAGTGAGATCAATCAAGGCGCCCAGCAGTTTTCCGAGATGCACCTGGCTGACCTACAGAAGGTGTTTGAGAAGGAGGCAGATGAGAATGGAGGTACAGCCATGACAAAGGCTGGTTTCTGTGACTCCTGCCTGGGTATCAGGGATGTGTGGAGGGAATCAGACCCGGTGCATTTTTACATCTGGTGTCTTGTTTAAAACTTCTGTCTGGGTAAGTGGTACAAGGATATTGAAGGCTATTTGGGATCTAAGACTATTTTTTAAGATCCCGCTAGTCCAGATACCCAAGTCTACCATTCAGCATTTTGGTGGGTTTCCTCTAAGCATTTCTAGTCTGTGATTTGTTATCGATTGCTGTGTGACAGTAGCCCCATGGTCTTAGTGGCTTAATTCAACATGTGCTTATGACTTCATAGATTCTATGAGTTTGGATCAAGGTCAGGGCTGAGCTGCCTTCCTGGTCAGGACCTCAAAAAGCTGCAGTTCCATAGTCAGCTGGGGCCATGTCATCATCTTGGGCTTGATTGGGGAAGGACTTACTTCTGAGCTTACATACACTGTGCCGGAATTCAGATCCTTGAAACTGTGGTATGGTGACCTTTCATTTCTTTCTGGCTGTTTGTTGCAAGGAGGTTGCCTTCAGTTCCCAGAAGCCATCTCATAATGGCTGACCATGTGGGACTTGCCAACATGGCAGATGGCAAGGCTTGAGCCAAAGGCAGAGAAACACTCACAGGAGTCACAATCTCATGGCCATGGGACTGTAGGCAATGGTGTGATGCCCTGTTGTCTAGGAGCAAGTCAAAGGTCTCATCCCGAGGAGGATGGGACCACAGGAGAGTCTATGGGTCTCTGTAAGTATCTCCAATCTTACTCTTCAGGGGTAGAACATCTTCTGAGCTGAGGAAGCATTTCATACCCAACTGAGCAAGCATTAGCTTAGCCTCCCTTACCAAGATGTGCTCAGAACACGTCTGTAGCGTCTGGTTGGGTAAAACCAGCTAACATAATGCACATTTTAAAATAAAGTGTGAGATATCTCATAAAAGCAAGAAACAGGAATGAAATGGGTTTGCATGTACACCACTGTAAAGTGGAAAAATCCCTGAGCTGGGGACTATGTGTTATTACAGGCCTTTCTTTTTCACTTCCTTTTTTATAGCTGAAGGACTGGGCATGGTGCCCTGGAGCCTCCAGGACAAGCCTTACTAATGGGTCTAAGGCTAATGCAGCTACCCCTCTGTTTTGCTTATTTACATTGCTCGGCTGTAAATGGTGTTTTGAGGATACCCTCTGCACGCTAGACCTTCTCCCTCCTGGCAGCTTGGTTTCTGCCCTTCGGAATGGTACTCCTGAAAGTCAAGTGGGAGTAAAGGCATCTTCAGAGTTGCTAGACTGTAGATGTTAGTGCTAGGTCCATCCCCTCTCCCATTCACTGGACTTTCACATCTACACGATAGTGTTTGGAGAGAGAAAGAGCGAGTGGGGAGAGACCCAGAGAGAGGAGACAGAGAGAGACAGAGACACACAGAGACAGGAAGTGAATGTGCGCATGGCAGGGCTGGAAGTTGACATCAGGATGGCTTCTGCTGCTTTTCACCTTATTTGTTTGAGACAGGGTCTCTTCACCAGATTGCAGGCTTGTTGTTTTGGCAAGGCTGGTGGGCAGAAAGCTCCCAGGATCTGGCAGTCTTTGTCCTGCCCAGGACTGGGCTACAGGCATATGCTGCCCTGTTTGGCGCTGAACATCAATTCCTGGGATTGAACTCACAGCCTCATCCTCATCCTTGCAAGGCAAGTGCTTTCCCCTGAACTGACTGACTTCCTGAGCTTTTTTTTTTTTTTTTTTTTTTTAAATCATCTGGCCATGATGTTAGTTTGGGGAAGGACACAGGCTGGCTTTTCTGTTTAGACACCTTCAGCAAGGCTATTGAGGGCATGAGTGGCATACTATTTCCCAGGCACCTGGACACCAGTACTGGTGACAGAGAGTGAGGCCATGTCGGAAGCAGGGGTGGGGGTGGGGTGGTTCTTGCAGTGTGGGAGGCCCTCCTTCCCCTCTCCTGAGGCTTTGCAAGGGCAGACACAGTCCTGCTTCACCCATCTCTGAGAAAGGCCTGCAGTGCCCACAAACTGCCCTTGTCCCCATCAGGGCATGGAAGGACTATGTCACACCACTCACAACACAGAAGCCTCTTGGCCCCAGCTTTACACACTTAAATGGGCGTTTCTCCCAGCAAGTCCTTGTTGCTTTTGGGCTTTTGTTTGACTCTCAGTCTAGTGTGACAGGGACAATGGCATGGTGGTGGGAAGCTCATGAGCTCTGGGGACAGATGCTGCTATTCTTATCTGTCACTACCAATCTACTGGCTATATGACTGTGGACAGGTTTCCTCAGAGCCCCTCTTATGTTGCCAGCATTCATAGGGTGCAGAGAATAGATCTGTCACTTCCTAGTGCCCAGAGAAACACTTGGACCAGTGTTTGTTGAGTGATGGAAGGGATCTTGTGTATTCCCAGAGGTCATGGTGAAGTGGGAGACGCAGGAAAGTCAAACATTGGGATTGGCAGCCTCTTAGATGCTCCTTAGGAAGAAAATCATCCTGGTGGAGAGAGTGACTTGAACTGCAAGGAGGGGCCATCCATGCTGTGCAAAGGCCTTGTGGTGGGTGCAGAGAGGTTCTTATGGCTGGAGCAGAGTGTGAAGAATGTGGTAGAAGATGATGCTTGCTAAGAGGAGCCAGATACTGCATGGCCTTTCAGCCACGGCAAGGGTTCCAGTATTTGAAGGGGTTTTAGAAGTGATTTTTGAAGACAATAATTATATAAAAAAAATTAGACTGGACCAATTGACACCTTTGCAAACAGATTTCCTTAGAGCTATAGAGGCCGGTTCAGGGAGAAAATATTTTATGCTTGTCTTACCTCTTCCTTCTTCCCCTATCTCTCCCTCTAGGCAAAGGATGTTGTTGTTATTATCATTTATTATTATTATTATTATTATTATTATTATTATTATTATTTCTTTTGACACAGGGTCTCATGTAGCCCAGGCTGGCTTTTAACTTGTATAGCCCAGGCTGGCCTTGGATTCCAAACCCTCCACAAGCTGGAATTACAATCATACACCATCATACCTGACTAAAAATTTTTGTTTTCATAAATTGCTCTTAAAAGATGTACTTAGTAGGCTACGGGACAGCTCAGTGCTAGAGCGCCTGCCAGCGTGTTTGAGGCCTTAGGTTAAGGTCCATGGCACCTGCTCTCTGTTTCTTTTCCCTGTGCAGCAGTTGCTGCTCCTCATTTGCACTACTGCCTCTGTTCTGTGGAGAGTTGTTGCTTTAGTCTGTATCCCTTGATGAGAAGAGGGACCTGGTCTTTTGAGAACCTCTGTCTACCCTCTCTCCTGCTCTGGGGTACACACAGTGGCAGGTGTTCATGAGGAATGACTGAGTGTGGTCAAAGATGATGGGGTGATTGCAGAAGCATCAGGAATCAGCGGGCCTGCACTAGGGTGGATGCTGGAGTCCTGAGGGAAGAGTAAACAGGGGCAAGCTTGTCACTGATGGGGGGGCTGGGGGAGGGGCTGCCTCCTAAGGTAACTCACCTCTGGCTGGAGTTCTCACATCTGCCTCCCTTGAGGGGTCCAACTGACAATCACAAGCAGGTAGCAGTGAGCATCTGGAGTGGGGGTGCCTGCAGCCTGTGTCCTGTGAGGGCCATGCAACTTGTACCTAAGCACTGATGATCTTCTCTCTCGAAGCCCTGAAAAAGGAAGGCTTCATCAAGATCATGAAGGGGGTGCTGAACAACATGTCGGAGGAGATGCTCGAGGTGCTGTTCTTGAAGGTGGACTCAGACTGCAATGGCTTTGTCACCTGGGTAAGGAGGGGACTCTGCAGCCTGCCACAGGAAGCTGGGAGAGGCTAGAAAGTCTGGTCTGGTTCTCAGTGGAGCAAGCAGAGGCTTGAAGATGGGAGGCAGCAGGAATCAGAAAATCAGTGTGCACTCTGGTTCCAGTTGGGGTGCTTGCCAGGTGGAGGGAAGCTTGGTGTCTCTGAATGATCTTCCTTGAGACTTCTGTGAGATGGACTCACTGCCCCCACATCGAGACTTTCTCATTAAGCTTTCCCACTGAGGTACAGCTAGCTCTCCTCTACTTCAGAGCCTCCCATCCAGTGTGGGGGATCTTTGTCAGTACCATGACAGATCATGGCCTTTCTTGTCACTCAGGAACAGGCATGCTTGTGGCTGTTGAATCCAGAACTGTCAGGTCTTCATAGTGTAGTAATGATGCTAACCATAAAGAACTCCCAAGGTTAAACAGAACACATGGCGTTAAGCCTGTAGAAATGTGCTGAGCCTTGTCGAAGAGACTGATGACGTAAGGTGACGCTGAGGCACCATGCCCAGCACTCTGTGTCTTCTCCTGTTGAAGGCTCACAGGATCCAGAACAGGTAGCAGCTGGGAAACTGAGGCGCAGAGCCATTGGGAATGTTGTTTTAGTGATACAGAGCTGGCTACCAGCTGAGCCTGTGTTCGGACCCAGCGAGTATGCCTCAAAGGTCTGTGGGCTAACTGCCAATGAATACCTCCTCGTGGTTTGGGTATAATATTCCCAGAAATCTTTGTCCATCTACACAATGGTTCTTGCCACGTTTTGTTGTACTGAGGACCTTAGGAATGCTAGGCAAGCGTTCTACCATTGAGTTACATCATAGACAAGTGTTCTATCATTGAGTTACATCATAGACAAGAGTTACATCATAGACAAGCGTTCTACCACTGAGTTACATCATAGACAAGAGTTACATCATAGACAAGAGTTACATCATAGACAAGCGTTCTACCACTGAGTTACATCATAGGCAAGTGTTCTACCACTGAGTTACATCATAGACAAGTGTTCTACCACTGAGTTACATCATAGATAGGCAAGCGTTCTACCACTGAGTTACATCATAGACAAGTGTTCTACCACTGAGTTACATCATAGACAAGTGTTCTACCACTGAGTTACATCATAGATAGGCAAGTGTTCTACCACTGAGTTACATCATAGGCAAGCGTTCTACCACTGAGTTACATCATAGACAAGCATTCTACCACTGAGTTACATCATAGATAGGCAAGCGTTCTACCACTGAGTTACATCATAGACAAGTGTTCTACCACTGAGTTACATCATAGACAAGTGTTCTACCACTGAGTTACATCATAGATAGGCAAGCGTTCTACCACTGAGTTACATCATAGGCAAGCGTTCTACCACTGAGTTACATCATAGACAAATGTTCTACCACTGAGTTACATCATAGACAAGTGTTCTACCACTGAGTTACATCATAGACAAGTGTTCTACCACTGAGTTACATCATAGACAAGTGTTCTACCACTGAGTTACATCATAGATAGGCAAGCGTTCTACCACTGAGTTACATCATAGGCAAGTGTTCTACCACTGAGTTACATTAGCATCTTCCCTCCCTCTGTCTCTCCTTCCCTTCCTCCTTTCCTTTCTCATTGTGATGAGATGTTTTCCACATTGGTCTCCAACTCTTGGGATCAGGTGATCCTTCAGTCTTAGCTTCTGAGTAGCTAGGACTAAGACATGTCACTATCCCTGGTTCCTGTTTCTTGTCATAGCTTCATATATTTGGACCTTGGCCATGTTTTAGTGAGGCTGGTCACTGGAGGCCAGAGTTGCAGATATTTGTGGGGTAGATGTACCCACATAGCTGTGGAGCCTTAACTTGGTCATGGGTTTGGACAAATCAGACATGGTGCCTCATGGATTACTTTCTCTGTGAAGCAGAGGTGACCAGGAGCTTTCCATGGGCGGCCAGGTGGCATGGCCGAGGGGTGCTTAGTGTTACACACCATGCTTGTTCCATTTGAGATTCAAACACAGGCTGGTTGCTTAGCTAGTTCCCCAGTGAGTACAGCCTTCAGAGTCACTTAGAGGGAGCTGTAGAGGGACAAGGGAAGACAGTGTATGCTGGGTTTGGGACCCTAAAGGCAAATGTTAAAACTATGCCAACATCTTCTTCCCTTTGCTTTGTCTTTCTGAGACAGCAGAAGTATGTGGATTATATGATGCGTGAGTTCCAGGGCAAGGAAGAGATGAGGAAGAGCCAGTACCGCCTGCGCTTCCACCTTCCCATGACCGTCATCCCCCTGTAAGAGCCTCTTCCCTGAAGCTGGGGTGTGATGGAAAAGTGCTAGCACTAAGCCTGCAGGGTGCCCCCTCCTCAGTGCATGAGCCACCCTGCTGACCCAACCAAGGTCCTGGATGGCCTCTTGTCCCTTCAGCTTGCCCTTCACAATCTGTAGGTGGTCATGGTGACAAAGGTAGGTGGCTTGTCCCCTTATCACAGTTGAGGGAGCCAAGGCTGGGAGAAGCCAGCTTGATGACTTGCCCAGGCTAACAGGCAGAGAGTGGTGGGGCTGTTCTTCACGCTCTTCCCCACCTCTTCTGCACACTGCAGGTCTCTCTTGCTTCTCTTTGGCCAGCGCTGAGTGGATCTGGCAGTTTCATCCCCAGAGGCACAGAAGGCTCACATACGTGCAGCTGGAATTCTCCTGGGAGGAGCCTCCTTGGCCAGGCTATGAGGGCCTTGTAGAGCCTTGTTGACCCTCTGGAGGGGGTGGTGGTTGGAATTTAGTGGCCCTGTTTATCTTGACTTTACCTGAGCTGCTACTCTGCTTGTGGCCCCCTCACCCACGGTGTCCCCTGGAACTTGGACCTTGGAGGACTTCTGTAGCTGATGACCACAGGAGAAGAGCAGACATTTGATATCTTGTTTAATAGAAGTTTTACAGTTTTGGGAACCTTTCCAGAGAAATGAAAGCACTAGAAACCGTGAACCCCAGATGCTTGTGCACTAGGTTTGAGGAAGAGTAGAAAGTTATGGGAAAATTATGTATTCACTCTTTGAGACGACATGTAGCCCAGGCTGGCCTCTAACTCCACACGTAGGTTGAACTTTTGATCCTCCTACCTCTGATTTTTTGAGTCTTGGATTATAGGTATGTATCATGTGTACTAGACAAGCACGCATCCAACTGATCTAAATCCCCAGTGCCTCAGGGAAATCAGACAGAGGGAGGGGTAGATGCAATAGCTGGAGGAGACCTAGCCAGCCTGTCCACCCCTGTTCCCCTCTGTGTCCTTGGCCTTTCAGAAGTAAGGTTGTTGCTGAGAGTCGTGGTGCACACCTGGAATCCCAGCATCCAGGTGGTAGAGGCAGGAGGACCCAAAGTTCAGGGTCCCTGCCACTACACAATGAGCTGGAGACCAGCCTGGTATACACGACAGCATGCTTTAGGAAAGAAAAAGAAAAAAAGATTACATCCACCTGGGATCTTACAGCCCAAACGAGCTGCTTCTCAAACACCTTCAGCTGAAAATATTCAAGAGTCCAGAGTGCCACGCTTTGGACTGGCATGTCTCAAATTTCATTAAACTCTTTCTTTCTATGCTATGGCCCTGTCTCCTCTGTCGTCGTCCCCCTCTCTAACACCCTAAGGACAAGGGGTGGTTTGTTGGCTTGCAGTGGTTCTTAACCTTCCTAATGTGGCAGCCCTTTAATACACAGGCTCTTTATGTTGTGGTGACTCCAACCATGAAATTATTTTCATTGCTACTTCAGAAGTGTAATTTTGTTACTATTCTGAGTCATAATGTAAATATCTGATATTCAACCCCTAAGTGGGTCGAGAACCACAGGTTGAGAACTGCTGGCTTGGAGCTTGCCCCTCTGTAACAGGGCTCTTGAGCTGGGCTGCCTGTTGGACTCTTTCTCCTTTTCTGGAACCACTCTGGGTTAGAACACCAGCAGCCTGGGGTGTGTGGCTGGGGTGTTGGCTCCTGTGGAGCAGTTTGGTGAGCTACGTTTGTGGTCTGTCCAAGGAGGCTGTAGGTGGCTGTCCTCAGAGAGCCACACCCAGTACAGGCTATGGAAGAGCAAGATCTAGAGTTTGTCTTTGCCTTGGGCAGGTAGGCTGGAGCTTTAGTGGAGAAGGAGGTTTAGTGGAGATCATAGAAGAGTCGCTTGTAAAAAAAAAACATGGTTGGGAGTTAACTGAGGAGTAGCCAATTAAATATGAATAATGAGAGGTTTTATAACTGTAATTTTGACATGAATACTTGGCTTGATGTAGCTTCACTGGTCTTTCTGTTTCTTCAGATCTCAGGAATGTTTAAAATCTGCAACAACAACAACAACTACTAAGAAAGTCTCAGGACACTTCTTATCTGCTCTCATTCACTTCTGCAGCTTACAAACCCAGAGGGCTCTCGGGTCTGATGGAGAAAGTAGCCAGAATAGCCAAACAATGTTTAATTAATTTTACGAGAAGGTGTCTTTTAAAATTCAGCTCTCCATTACTGGATCTGGGCTGAGCACACACCTAGCACCCCACCCTCTTGGATCCCTTCACTGTCCAGCAAGGGAGAGGCATAGTTACCTCACGGATGAGGAAGCTGACTTCCCTAAAATGCCATTCCCAGGGCTGGGTTAGCTTCACAGCTCCCTTCTCTAATCCTCACAGTCCTTAGTCAGAGTTGAATTGACGGGGAGAGAGAGAGAGAGAGAGAGAGAGAGAGAGAGAGAGAGA